TGGTCCTTCTCCTTACTCTGGACCGACTAGAGGTCTTACGGAGCGTCGTGAGCCTGAGTCTCGTCTTGCGTCGCCCGAGTCTCGTCCTGCGTCACCTGAGTCTCGTCCAGAGTCGCCTGTTTGCGCTGTTTGCACAGGTCGACGTGTTCCGCGTCAGCATCCTCCTCCTGTCCCCGGCACTCACTATATGACTCTGCGTCCTTCCACTGCTCCACGGCGTGTCCGTCTGCCGTCTCCTCCTGCGTCCTCTCTTCCTAACGGTCCGGACCCGGAGTCTGACTCCCTTCGTGCTGCTAGTCCTACTGTCACGCGTTTTTTGGCCACTGTTGTCACTGACCCTTCATTTGAGTCCACTGCTGCGTCTGCTCTAGTTGCTGAGCTTGTTGACTTTGCTGCTGCCTGTCATCTAGACTACGCCGCTAGTCTTGTTGCTGAGTCTGAGTGTGCTCTTGGCACGAACGTCCTTAAGGACAGACAGGAGGAGTTTGAGTGCTTTGCCGCTGCTTTACCTCATCTCGTGTCCATGCTGCTTGCCCCTGAGGGAGACCCGGATGCACCAGACATCCCGACCCCGCGCTCTTACGCAGAGGCGATAGAGGGTCCCTACTCTTCTCAGTGGCAGACAGCCATGGACACAGAGATGGCTTCCTGGAAGTCCACAGGCACCTACGTCGACGAGGTTCCCCCGCCTAGGGCGAACATCGTCAATGGCATGTGGATTTTCAGGGTGAAGCGGCCGCCGGGTTCTCCGCCTGTCTTCAAGGCGCGTTACGTTGCACGAGGCTTCAGTTAGCGACAGGGAGTTGACTTCTTCCAGACCTTCTCCCCTACCCCAAAGATGACCACTCTTCGGGTGCTGCTGCACGTCGCCGCTCAGCGTGACTACGAGCTACACTCTCTTGACTTCAGCACAGCCTTCCTACAGGGCAGCCTGCATGAGGAGATCTGGCTGCGCCGCCCACCTGGCTTCACTGGGTCGTTTCCTGCAGGTACCCAGTGGAGCCTCCGGCGGCCAGTCTACGGTCTCCGCCAGGCACCCCGTGAGTGGCACGACACACTGAGTGGGTGGTACCTCAACCGCAACCCGTCTCAGGCTCGACCACACCGCGACTTGTCGCAGGCGGTCGCCGCCGGAGGCACACGAGGCAGACGGGGTCGGGGACAACCACTAGGGGACCCACGCCAGGATTCGTCTTGGTGGCGAGGTACCTCCAGTGGTACATGCCCCGGCACCAGAGCCGACTGTGGGGGTTACGTGTTACCTTCCCCTCTGAAGCCAACGCCCATCCGGGTACGGCTGTCCCCGAAATGGGGCACGCGCTTCTGGTGATCGATGGGGGTTTTAGCAACTAAATGCACAGCCGGTATAATGCTGCTTACCGAAGCGCCTTCTCCCTACGGGGGGTTGGTTTCCTCCGGGGATCTCCTTAAAGCCCAAAAAAAAAAAAAAAAAAAAAAAAAAAAAACGACACACTGAGGACGACTCTTGCTGCTCTTGGTTTTGCTCCTTCCACTGCTGACCCGTCGCTGTTTCTACGCACCGACACCACTCTGCCGCCGTTCTACGTTCTCGTGTACGTAGACTACTTGGTCTTTGCTACTGGTGACACTGAGGCACTCGCCCACGTGAAGTCGGAGCTGCAGAAGAGACACACGTGCACAGACCTGGGTGAGCTCACAAGCTATCTTGGCTTGCGGATCACCCGGGACAGAGCACAGCGCACCATTACCTTGACTCAGTCACACATGGTGCAGCAGGTCCTTCAGCGCTTCGGCTTCACGTACTCCTCGCCACAGTCCACTCCTTTGCCTACCGGTCACTCGCTCTCAGCTCCACCTTCGGACGAGTCCGTAGAGCCGAGTGGCCCGTATCCAAAGCTTGTGGGCTGCCTCATGTACCTGATTACCTGCGCTCGACCTGACCTTGCCTACCCTCTTAGCATTCTAGCATGCTATGTCGCTCCTGGCAGACACAGGAAGGAGCACATGGATGCAGCTAAGAGGGTGTTGCGCTACTTGTGCAGTACGTCGGGCATGGGGCTCGTGCTTGGAGGACGGGCTCGAGTTGTCCTCACTGGTCCCGCAGACGCTTCCTGGGCTGACGACTTGACTACGCAGCGGTCGTCACAGGGTTACACCTTCAGCCTTGGCTCCGGCTCTGTCTCTTGGCGGTCTACCCGCTCGTCTTCTGTTCTCAGCTCCAGTTGTGAGGCTGAGATCTACGTGTCAGAATTAGTAGGAGTACGGCCTAGGCTTAGTAGCCTAGGCCACAGTAGGACTAATAACGAGGAGCCAAGTACGAGCTAGGAATGTGTGTAGGAACAGAATTGAGAAGGAATGATTGAACTAGCAAGCAGCAGGATACAAATGGCAAACCCTAAGGGGCTGTACTCACTATAGAGTACCCCACTGCAGGCTACACAAACAACATATTCTGACACACCCCCATAGCCAAAGTGGGGTGTAATCAGCACAATGAGCAGTCATAGCAATAGTTCATAATTATCAGCAAAGCTAGAGGCTATCACAAAGGGCAAGTGAGGAGGAGGAGGGACTATGAAAGGAGAGAAGATGGGAGGCGACGACTGAAGCTGCAGACACACGGGCAACAGAAGCGGCTGACACAGTGGCGGCTGACACAGTGGCTACCGAGACAGAGCGCCCCGGAATACTGGAGTAACTGGCTCTGCGGCTACGACGAGCGGCAGAAGCAACGGACCCACGGGCGACTGGTGCAGCAGGCTCTCAGTGGCTACCGAGACAGTGCGTCCCGGAATACAGGTTTAACAGGCTCTGCGGCTGCGACGAGCGGCAGGAGCAACGGACCCACGGGCAACAGGTGCAGCAGGCTCTCTGAGCTACCAGGACAGTGCGCCCCGGACTACAGGTGCTGCGGACGACAAGACAGCAGCCTCCACTCAACCTCCCCCAACAGTCCCACACCCCTCTCACACACCCCCTGTTTCACCCCTAGCTCCATTCCCACATCACCCCCCTAGTGCCACTCCCCACGACTCCCACACCTCCACCCCCCTCAGCGGCAGCTGCAGCAGTGGGAGACGAAAAAGGAGGAGGGGAGAACCCACACCTCTCACCCCCATGCTCGCCACCCCACACCCCAACCACCGCGGAACGCACGGTGGAATGGGAGCAATGGGCAGCACGGGGGGGGGACGGGCTTCTGCAGGGGCGGCAGCTGCAGGTGCGGGCTGCTCCAGGGGCGGCTGCTGCAGGTGCGGGCTGCTCCAGGGGCGGCTGCTGCAAGTGTGGGCTGCTCCAGGAGCGGCTGCTGCAGGTGCGGGCTGCTCTAGGGGCGGCTGCTGCACTGGCGGGCGGCTCCAGGGGCGGCTGCTGCAGGTGCGGGCGGCTCCAGGGGCTGCTGCTGCAGTGGCGGGCGGCTCCAGGGGCGGCCGCGGGGGGGGAAAACGCACGGCCCCCAGGGCGCCCCGAGGGGCGACGAGAAGGGAGCCGCGCGGCCCCCCTCGGGGCGCCGCGACGGGCACCAGGGAGGGCGCCGCGACGGGCCCCCAGAGCCACCTCGACGGGCGACGGGGAGGGCGCCGCGCGGGCCCCCCGAAGTCGCCTCGACGGGCGACGGGGAGGGCCGCGCACGGCCCCCGAAGTCGCCACGACGGGCGACGGGGAGGGCGCCGCGCACGGCCCCCGAAGTCGCCTCGACGGGCGACGGGAGGGGACCGCGCGCGGCCCCCGTGGTCGCCACGACGGGCGACTGGTGGGGAGGCCGCGCGGGCCCCCAAGGTCGCCTCGACGGGCGACGGGAGGGGAGGCCGCGCGGGTCCCCGAGGTCGCCTCGACGGGCGACGGGGGGGGAGGCCGCGAGGGTCCCCGAGAGCGCCTCGACGTGCGCTTCGACGGGAGGGGACCGCGGAGGCCCCCCCAAGGGCACCACGACGGGCGCCACGGAAGGGAAAACCGCCAGGCGCCCCGAGCGCGCGGCGGGCAGAAATTAGGGTTTCGCCGCCGCGCACCACGGGGCGCGCGGCGGACAGTACGGCAGCGGAAGCGGGTGGTGGGCCCATACACAGGAAGGCGGCAGACATGCCGCCCTCTGATACCATGTCAGAAGTAGTAGGAGTACGGCCTAGGCTTAGTAGCCTAGGCCACAGTAGGACTAGTAACGAGGAGCCAAGTACGAGCTAGGAATGTGTGTAGGAACAGAATTGAGAAGGAATGATTGAACTAGCAAGCAGCAGGATACAAATGGCAAACCCTAAGGGGCTGTACTCACTATAGAGTACCCCACTGCAGGCTACACAAACAACATATTCTGACACTACGCAGGGGCCATGGCTGCACAGGAGTTACGCTGGCTCACCTACCTGCTGACCGACCTGGGAGAGCCGCCTCGTTCTCCTCCAGTGCTGTACGTCGACAACAAGGCCATGATTGCCTTGTGTCAAGAGCACAGACTGGAGCACAGAACGAAGCACATCGCTCTGCGCTACTTCCTTGCTCGAGAGTTGCAGCAGCGTGGTCAGCTTCGTCTTGCTTACGTGGCCACTCAGGCCAACACTGCTGATTTTTTCACCAAGGCACTTCAGCCTTGTGATCATCAGCGTTTCTGTACTGTTCTAGGCCTTGTACCTACTGTGCCTCACTTGCTTACGTCTTGACTCTGCTTGTACTGTGATCTCTATACATATACCTGCATGCTTACACTTGCTAGGTTGTGTTCACTGTATTGCTTGTTCTCCTTTATATAACTCTGCATGTGAACTGGCCTTGTGGCCATTTGCTTGTGCTCAGAATGCGTGGTGACGTCGTGATCCACCCTGAGCTTGCTTTGCCTTTCTTGACTGGTCTTGTGACCTCTTGTTCTCCCCCACTTTGCCAATGGGGGTGTGTCAAACTTATATGCTATAGTCTGTCTAGGCTGTAGTGGGGTAGTTCATATAGGGTACAACACTTTTAGGTTTCCTACTTGTACCCACCTACTTGCTAGTTCAGTCTTTCCTTCCTTCACTATTCTGACAGGGCGGTCAAGGGGTGCATGTGTTGGGATACTTTCCTCCCCTGGGGATGCGAGAGAGGAGGGCGCAGGGAGTGTAGTTTGGAGTGCAGGAAGGGAGGGCACGGCAGGAAGTGGGGGCACTGAGGGAGGAGGACTCAAGAAGCTGGTGGGGATGCTGGAGGGGATAAGGGAGGGGCGGCAGGCATGGTGCAGCGGCTGTAGCAGCTGGGCGTGGGTGTGACTATGGCGGATGTGATTCAGGTGAGGGGGGGGAGCAGGGGTGAGGGAGAGAGAGGGTGATGGAAGGATGCTTGTGATTGGTTTGGTGAGCAGGCAGGCGCGCAGGCATAGTGGCTTTTGAGATGTCTCAAAAGGCAGACAGGCATGCAACAGGATGGTGGTTGGGCGGGTGGCAGGCATGGTGCAGCTGCTGCAACAGGTGGGTGTGACCATGGCGGATGTGATTAAAGTAAGAGAGAGGGGGAGTGGTGGATTTGGAAAACTGAATGGTGTGCTTGCTAGCTAGATAGGCAAGTTGCAAGGTGTCTCAAAACTTGTGCGCAAGCGAGCAGGCAGGCAAGCACGCATGCGTGATATAGTGTCTGCAATGGGTTAAGCGTGGGTGTGACTATGGCCTATGTGCTTCAGGTGAGAGGGGGTGGTAGGACGATGCTGATTCTTGAACCCCGAAGACGGCGCATGGCAGGGTGCATGTGTCAAGGGCGCTGGTGGCAGTGTGGAAGGAGAGAGAAATGTGGAAGGAGAGAGCAGTGTGGAAGGAGAGAGCAGTGTTGAAGGAGAGAGCAGTGTGGAAGGAGAGAGCAGTGTGGAAGGAGAGAGCAGTGCGGAAGGAGAGATCAGTGTGGAAGGAGAGAGCAGTGTTGAAGGAGAGAGCAGTGTGGAAGGAGAGAGCAGTGCGGAAGGAGAGAGAAATGTGGAAGGAGAGAGCAGTGTGGAAGGAGAGAGAAATGTGGAAGGAGAGAGCAGTGTGGAAGGAGAGAGAAATGTGGAAGGAGAGAGAAATGTGGAAGGAAAGAGCAGTGTGGAAGGAGAGAGCAGTGTTGAACGAGAGAGCAGTGTGGAAGGAGAGAGCAGTGTGGAAGGAAAGAGTAGTGCGGAAGAAGAGATCAGTGTGGAAGGAGAGAGCATTGTTGAAGGAGAGAGCAGTGTGGAAGGAGAGAGCAGTGCGGAAGGAGAGAGCAGTGCGGAAGGAGAGAGCAGTGTGGAAGGAGAGAGCAGTGTAGAAGGAGAGAGCAGTGTGGAAGGAGAGAGCAGTGTAGAAGGAGAGAGCAGAGTGGAAGGAGAGAGCAGTGTGGAAGGAGAGAGCAGTGTGGAAGGAGAGAGCAGTGTGGAAGGAGAGAGCAGTATGGAAGGAGAGAGCAGTGTGGAAGGAGAGAGCAGTGTGGAAGGAGAGAGCAGTGTGGAAGGAGAGAGCAGTGTTGAAGGAGAGAGCAGTGTTGAAGGAGAGAGCAGTGTTGAAGGAGAGAGCAGTGTGGAAGGAGAGAGCAGTGTGGAAGGAGAGAGCAGTGTGGAAGGAGAGAGCAGTGTGGAAGGAGAGAGCAGTGTGGAAGGAGAGAGCAGTGTGGAAGGAGAGAGCAGTGTGGAAGGAGAGAGCAGTGTGGAACGAGAGAGCAGTGCGGAAGGAGAGAGCAGTGTGGAAGGAGAGAGCAGTGTGGAAGGAGAGAGCAGTGTGGAAGGAGAGAGTAGTGTGGAAGGAGAGAGCAGTGTGGAAGGAGAGAGCAATGTGGAAGGAGAGAGCTGTGTGGAAGGAGAGAGCAGTGTGGAAGGAGAGAGCAGTGCGGAAGGAGAGAGCAGTGTGGAAGGAGAGATCAGTGTGGAAGGAGAGAGCAGTGTGGAAGGAGAGAGCAGTGTTGAAGGAGAGAGGAGTGTGGAAGGAGAGAGCAGTGTGGAAGGAGAGAGCAGTGTGGAAGGAGAGAGCAGTGTGGAAGGAGAGAGGAGTGTGGAAGGAGAGAGCAGTGTGGAAGGAGAGAGCAGTGTGGAAGGAGAGAGCAATGTGGAAGGAGAGAGCAGTGTGGAAGGAGAGAGCAGTATTGAAGGAGAGAGCAGTGTTGAAGGAGAGAGCAGTGTGGAAGGAGAGAGCAGTGTGGAAGGAGAGAGCAGTGTGGAAGGAGAGAGCAGTATGGAAGGAGAGAGCAGTGTGGAAGGAGAGAGCAGTATGAAAGCAGAGAGCAGTGTGGAAGCAGAGAGCAGTGTGGAATGAGAGAGCAGTGTGGAAGCAGAGAGCATTGTGGAAGGAGAGAGCAGTGCGGAAGGAGAGATCAGTGTGGAAGGAGAGAGCAGTGTTGAAGGAGAGAGCAGTGTGGAAGGAGAGAGCAGTGCGGAAGGGAATGCAATGCAATTAGGTTAATAAGGGAATGTACCCCTCAGAGTACATGGCTAGCTAGTTTGCTATTTATACCCTTGTACTCCTATCTTATAATTATCTTGTTCTCTTTCAACTTTCATTCAAGAATTCATTGTCTTCACTCAACTTAGCAGACTTCGATACAATCTGAGCCGTCTTTTAGGATCGTCTCAGGCTGATCGCACGGAGTGTAGCAGCGGAAGGTTTGCTTGGTAATGTAAGGTAAGGACTCTATCAGTAGAAGGAGATTTGAATCTCGACAGAAGTGACTAGTACAATGCAGTACACAGGTTCATATAGGAATACAGTGGAATACGAAAGGTCCTTACTAGCCATGTACTCTGAGGGGGTACATTCCCCTTAGGGCTAATCTAGATGCAGGATTACAACCGTGCGGTTCGGTAACCGTGCGCGGTTCGGTAACCGTTAGAAGTTTTCCCGCGCTTTGCACTTCGAAAATTTCCTGCTTGTAAACTGTCTTCGATAATTGTCTTGTTGCTCGGTCTTCATCCTCGCTGCAGTCATCTTCGCATTAAGGATTAGTTACTCAGGAATGTTTATTCAACAATTCCATATCGTAACACCAGGGCTGATTTTATCAGGGTAATTATCCTGATTTCAGGGTGATTACAGGCTTCTCAACTGCTGGGCCCTGCAATTTCAGTTTTTTTAACTTGTGAACTCTGATCCAATCAGAAAAGTTACTTAACGAACCCTGAAATCTTATAACTAGACTCAGAGTAGTGTACTTGCGGACTATGTCTATGCAGAGTATGCGTTCGGTGGACCCTGAATGCGAGGGTATCGGGACGAAGGTTCCTCGAAGTTTCCTTTCGATAACCCCCCCCCTGTGCGTAATCATTACTTCGCGTGGCCCCATGTGAGGTACCCCGTTCACGCGCTGGACTGACGTAATAACGACACCGAATTCCAACACCGTGCTGTGAAGACAGCTGTCAACAGTGACAACGCACCCAAATCTATGATACGTTGCTGCCACGCGCACCTCGCAGTGCACAGCATGCCTCTGACATTCGCCCGAACGGCATGTTGACAGTATGCGCTGGCAGCTAAGCAGTCCTTGAATGAATTCGGCCTTGCATCTACGGCCGAATTCATTGATGAATGTTACCATCAACCTTGTGGCATCGCGCCGCGGTGGTTTCGTGATGACCCCGCCATCTCCAACCTTCCTTTCCTTCCCCCTACCAAGAGCCAGGCTTCCTTCGCTTCCTGCTTTTCGTTCAGTATCACACTTTCCTCTCGCTCCATCTTTCCCCTAGCTCGCCGCCATGGAGGCCCTGCCGGCCAACGAAGATGCTCCTCAGACTGGCCCTTACGAGCCACCTTTACCGGCGAAACCGACAGCGCAAGCCTTGCCGGAGAAAGCATCAGATGATCCCCGGTCTGGGCTCGATTTTCTTAGAGCTGCCGGTGCTCCGGTGACACCAGAACCTCCTAGGTCTACGGTTCATGACTCTGCTGCTAGAGTAACCCCTACTCCTTCTGATTCTCCACATCCTGTCGCCTTCACTCTACCCCCGGCTGTTGCTTCTTGCAGCAAAGATCCCCCACCGCCATCGCCTAGCCCCACTCCAAGCACGGTGCGTGTGTCTGTTGGCCCGCCGTCGGCTTCTTCCACTCCCAAGCGAGCGCGAAATGGGAAGTGGGCGCAGAGTACTCTGGTCGTCGGAGGCCGCCGTATTCCACCGCCTGACAATGACAAGCCGGCAGATCCTCCACCGAAAGAAGCTGAGCAACCGGAGGAAGTTGACATCCCTGTGCGCGCGGATACCGGCTCGCCCGCACTCACCAAGATGCAGCTGCAAGAGCAGGTGTACCTTGAGGCGAGTATTAACTACGAGACGAAGTGGTCGCAACACTTTTCCTGGCTGGTGTTTGGGAAGACCAAGGACGGTTTTCCATACGTGAAGTGCTCCATCTGCATGTCGTACGCGAAGGGGAACACGAGGTACGCCATGCAAGGTGACGACAGTGGCCGTGACTTGCAGACACAGTCGTTCAGGGCGCACGAGCATACGGACGCACACAAGGCGGCGGTGGTTCGGCAGTTGAAGCTTGCGACGGGCATCCGCGAGGGCCAGCAGGCGATTTTTGACTTCATCAACTCCGACGTCGAGGGGCGGAGCGCGATTCGTCTCATGCGGTCTACGCAGTTCCTGTGCCAGTACGACGCGCCGATTAGCATGTTTCCGAAGCTGATGCGGCATCTTGCGGAGCAGGACACGCCAGACATTCCTCGACAATCTTACGGCGTGTATCTGACACGGTATTTAATCTTACCGTTAGATTGCAGCTGGACATATGTGACGTGTGGTTTTTTTACTACGATCCTGACCATTTTATTCTCCTCTGTGCAGATACGGGTTCCAACAAATGGTTCACAGCATCAGTACATACCTCACTCGGGTCCAGATGGACCACATCCTGGCATCCCCCTTCCTGGGCATTCAGTGCGACGAGAGCACAGATAGAACGCGAGGGAAACACATGATTGTGTACCTTATGTTTTTGAAGAATCGCCAAATCGCATGCGAGTTCTTTACATTGCTGACGGTTGAGCAGTGTGATGCAGGGTCTCTGTTCGAGGTGCTTCTGAACCATCTCCGCTCCGCAGCCGTCGATGTGTCCAAGATCGTCGGCATCAGCACGGATGGGGCGTCGGTCATGACCGGGAAAGAAAACGGATTGGTGGCGCGTCTTCGGGAACACGTTCCGCACCTGTTTTCATGCCACTGCATCGCCCACCGGTGTGTATCAAGTTTCCTAGTTGGTGTGGTTTTCTACGTATAAGATTAACCAATTACCTCTTGATTTGTATTCCCTGCATCCTACAGTGAGGCGTTGGCTGTGAAGGACGCCGCTGAGTCAAACGAGGACCTTGGCATGGTCGACAAGGTGGTGCGCACAGTGGCGACGCTTCTCGGAAACTCAAGCGTGTGGAGTCAGCGCTTCAAGTACCTTCAGCGAGTGATCTACCAGACAAACCTCGAGGTCCAAGGAATCCACACGGTCCGATGGCTGTCACGAGGTGATGCGGTGCGCAGGCTGTGCAAGGTCCTCGGCGCTTGCATCGTGCTGCTCTGGGAGCACAACCACAAGGCCTATGAGATTGTGACGTGCTACAAGTTCCAGTTCTGTTTGTTTTTCCTAGCCGACATTCTGGCCGACATGAACGACCTCAACCGCTGCTTCCAGAGGCGTGAGGTGAGATTGATGTCAAACATATGTTTATATGTTATAGTTTAGGTAGGCTGTAGTGGGGTACTCACTGTGGGGTACAACCCCTTAGTTTTCCTTTTGTACCAACACTCTCGATAGTTGCAATCACTCTTGCCTAAGACTTCGACATGACATCTAGAGCATAGGTCCTTAGGACCTAGGATTAGGGCCCACCGGTTACCGTGTTACCTACCTGCCTTGCCTACTGCCCGCGCGCGCCTCAACTGCACGTGCGCGGCCCTTTTTTTTTTCCCGCGCGAGCCTCTTAAGCAGCCCGCGCGGCCCGTTTAGGCCCCGCCCGTGCAGCCCGTGTAGGCCCCGCCCGCGCGCCACTTACGCCGCCCGCACGCAGCCTGCTTAGGCCACGCCCGCGCAGCCCGCCGCCGCACGCAGCCCGCAGCCGCGTGCAGCCCGTCGCCACGCGCAGCTAGGAGCCGCACGCAGCCCGTTGCCACGCGCAGCCAGGAGCCGCACGCAGCCCGTCGCCACGCGCAGCCAGCAGCCGCGCGCAGCCCTCAACCGCACGCAGCCAGCAGCCGAGCGTGCCCTGCTCGTGTGCCTGCCTGCGCGGCCCGCTGCTGCCTAGCCTACTGCCTTAGGAGCCTTGAGTGCGCGGCCTGCTACTATCTAGCTACTATCTAGCACGCCGCCCTGCTCCTATCTAGCACGCCGTCTTAGGAGCTTGAGTGCGGGAAACTACTGCCTCTATCTTAGCCTGCGGTCTACTGCCCGCTGCCTCCTGTCTACTGCCTGCTGTCTCTGTCTTTGCCTACGGCCTGCTGCCTACTGCCTCCTGTCTGCTGCCTGCTGCCTACTGCCTTTGCCTGCTGTCGTTATGACGACGCCTAACGTTCTCGCGTTCGAGCCTGACGGGCGCCCCATAGAGTTCGCTGTGTGGTTAGACGACCTCCAATTGTTCCTTCTGACCGATGCCAAAGAGGGCGTTTCACTGTTCGATTACGTGTCTGGCACTGCCGTTGCTCCTACTGCCGATGCTCCTCCTCTTGAACGCTCGCAGTGGCAGACTCGCGATGCTGCTGCACGCCTAGCTATTAGGAACCATCTGCCGATTACTGAGCGCGCGCATTTCAGCCAGCACAAACCTGCTAAGACGCTGTACGACGCTGTAGTTGCGCGCTACTCCTCCCCGGCCACTGCGGCCATAGGTCGGCTCATGCTACCCTACCTGTTTCCCGACCTTTCCTCGTTCACCACTGCTGAGGACCTCATTTCCCACCTGCGCGCTACTGACACTCGCTTTCGTGCCGCCCTTTCAGCCGAATTCTGCGCCGCAAACCCCCCCCGATGTACTTCACTCTCTATATCCTCGTCACCCGCCTCCCTGACACTCTTAGCTCTGTCAGGGACCACTTCCTAGCGCTAGACCCCACCACTCTCACTGTCGACGACTTCGAGAAGCACCTCCTCGCAGCAGAGAAGAACATCCTCACTGTAGTTGCTGCTCGTGGCACTCCTCGCTCTCCCCTCTTTGAGGGGTGCTCCCCCTCCCCTCTCACCCCCTCCTACGCCTCCGCAGTTGCTGCTCACGACTACCTTGGTGCTGAGGAGGTCGGAGCTTCTTCCGCTCCTAGTGGGAAGCATCGCAGCGGCAGGGGCGGCAGGGGTGGCAGGGGCGGTG